GTGCTACGGCGAACTCACACGCACGAAATCGCTTTATCGGAGCATTGAACGCTTCATGATGACGATCATTTCATATTGTGACATAAAAAAAAGCTTCAAAACAAACGTTTACCAATCCGAGATGGTGGCGTCCAAGAGTCGAAAAGAAAATAGTTTACGAAACAGCGCGTAGATCGATGAGAGGTGTGAACGCTTCATTGCACCTCTCTTGTATGCATGGGGAGGAGGGGGGCGCTGCATTGAAATATCACCTCTCTCCCCCTGTGGCGTAAATCATTCGAGGGGGGTTACGGTGGTACTGACCCTCTTAATTGTGCTCAGGCTGGGGAGGGGGGCATCCCTTGCAAGTGCCCCCCCCCCCCTCTTGAATTGTATCTTTAAACATCATAAATGAATGGCTCGACAGTTAAGTGGAGCGCGCTGTACTTTCCTAATGCATTTTTTTTCCCTTTTGCGTCTGCCGATGTTCATTACCTCTCAGCTGTGTCAGACTTGAAAATGCGACTTCCGCCAAATCGGTTTCAGAAGAAAAGTCAACAGAACAAAGCAATTACGTGAGTTGAGAACCGACATATATTCTTCAGTTTGATTTCAAAGCATAAATTGAATTTATGTAAGTATAAAATCTAACATATCTATGAAAACAGAATGGCCGCCCTGGCAAGATGTGTGTTCCACCAAGTGATCTTTCTCTCCTTACGCCACAGCCTGCTCCCCCGTAATGGAGAACTCTGTGCGTCCCTGAGATAGCTTACGTAATAGAACTTAGCTCAGTGAAGTCAATAGTAAGTGCGCCTATAACGCGTGAACAGGCGTAAGGTTCGTGGAGGAGGAGATGAGTGACAGACCACGTGTCCGGGCCTGGCGAGCGAAACTATCCGCAAAGACGTTCGATTGGACTTTTGCGAGAAAAAAAAAATGGGGGGAGTCAAATTTATGTAGCACAGATACGGTGACGCAGAAATGTGGTGTTCTTCGCGCTACTAATTAGTGCGAGGTCGCGCGTTCGGATCTCTACCACACCGGCTGCATCCCGACGGGGGCGTTGAAGATTATTAGGTGGTCAAAATTAACAGGCCCCACCCATCCCTATGGCATGCCTCAGAATGATATCGAGGTTTCGGCGCTTGAACCCGCAAAAAAAAAAAAAAGGATACAGTAGAGCTGTTGTGATCGAGAGTGTGTCGCAGGTAGAAAACTGTCCTCATCACTAACCGGCACATGATGAATCACCACCAAAGCATTGTGTACACAGGGGATTAACAAGAGCAGTGCAAAGGTATGAGCCGTCTGCCGATCTCTATAGAGATAGCACGCATCTTCATATTGTATATTACTATAACAACATCGATTGAGAGTGCGTACACGTTTTGTTATATTTGTCCTACTTCCACACCAGGATGTTTACCATAAAACATTAGACATATGCGTGCTCTGCGCATTTCATAATATGGCGTGGTGAATAAGTGGTTACTGTGCATGCTTTCCCGGTGGTATAGCGTGTTCGGTCCCGGCTACCACGTTTCGACGCAGGCTGAACGGCACGGACGCTTGTACTGCTCGAAGACAGTGCACGATAAGGAAAACCAGATGATCAAAATCGCCGAAGCCCTCCACTACGGCGTCTCTCATAATCATATCGTGGTTTTGGGACGCGATACGCCAGATATCATTATCGCGTACTTTATGCCCTGTTAATATTGTCACTCACCTTTGCATTTCTGCTGTGCTTATCAATCACTTTCTCATCAATATGCGTCACGGCCCATAAACGTGGACTGATGCCCATGCCAAAGTACACCAAATGAACCTTCTTACCTTCGGCGACCCTTTGTCTGCTATATACTCCGCGTGTATAACATCACACCAATCCGCCTTTTTCATTCTGTCGCGGTGCATGCGCCCTTACCCTAAATCGCGAAACGGCCATTTCTCCCGGAGGATGTCGTTTTGGCAACACCGGCAGTTGTGACACCTAATACTACCAAAACGGCAAAGGGCAGCACAGGAAAAAGGCGGAATAGTATGGCGTCCATCGCAACGAAACCCGAGCATAACTTGTCTGACTGGACTTAGGGGAGGATTCTTGCGCCATGATCGTGCACAGAAAGTCGAAAGTGGTGGTCAAGTGTACACTTAAAGTCGACTGGTCTCTGCTATCGCTTATTGAATTGATATGAATGAAATTTGAAAAATTTATGGCTGCTTTTTTGCGTTGGGAAAGTCAAGCTTAAAAATAATTATGATTTGATCTGGTATACACAGGTGTATACATTCGCACACTTACAAGTCTACAAGTGTGCGGGTAATCTATCTATCTATCTATCTATCTATCTATCTATCTATCTATCTATCTATCTATCTATCTATCTATCTATCTATCTATCTATCTATCTATCTATCTATCTATCTATCTATCTATCTATCTATCTATCTATCTATCTATCTATCTATCTATCTATCTATCTATCTATCTATCTACTGTCTATCTGTCTCTCTGTAATCACTGTACCATGATCTGCGTACACCTACAAGATCCGCAAGTGACCAAAGCTTACTAGGAGCCCTCCGCACTGTCGCTTCTTTCGTAACATATTGCAGTTTGGAAACGCTCACTGACTCAACGAACGAACTTAACTTGCGATATCTGCGTTCGATGTGAACACCATCGAAATGAGCACTTGTACGATCTCTCCTCGATTTTCGTATATTTATCAGTAAGGCATCTGCTCTCGTTTTCTTCTTCTTTTATTGCCCACCTGATTAATCTATCATTAGCTGTCACAGCGGCTATTCATCACTCTACGACAGAGACTCAGAGGGTCCCTTGTGCGTTCCTAAGATGACTGGAAAGCAAAAGTCAATTAGTACGGCTATATATAGTATTTATATTATATCGACACCCAAAGTTTGCTAAATTATTCTGCACCTACTTAAAATGCTTTGATTGGCATCATACATGTATAATGATATGGTGGCTTTAGGACGTTAAACCCCAACCATTATTATTAGCATCATATAAATAACTTTCACTGATCAAACTTTGGATGATAGACTTGAACTGGCTAATTTTATACTCACTTGATTCGCTTCAGTTATTAACTCTGGTCACGCATATGTTCCACTCGCTTCCGTGTGGCTTTCGCTTCCCCGGACGTCACGTGATCTACTGTGCTGAACTTCTCTCGTAGGGAATTCCGCTCATGGCTTCGTTTTTACAAAACACATCAGGACTCCTTATTGGGCTATGTAGCTCATTTGTGTATGTAAAAAAAATATTCTCATGCTTCAAGCGAACGTCGTGAAGACTGATCGAACAGCGGAGCTGGTAGGCATCAGGGGGCTACTTTGTATTTTGTAAGCGTTCTGTCGCAGAACGGAGGAAAGACGGAACGAGGAGGAGCCTCACAGGATTGGTCGAGGATCGTGAAGACGTGACAACAGTCATAAAACGGGCACAGAACGGTCCCGTTCTGATCGATCGATTAAACGGATACAAAACGGTCTCCGGATGACCGGGATCGAATTGAAACGTAAGCGCTTGGGCTCGGAGCATCGAATTAGGCCTGCTTAGTGTATCGCTCAACCCAATCCCGTGCTGATAGTTTGTGTAAATCACTACGAAAGAATCCGTCGAATTACGATACCACTTAGCGTCCAGTCAAGACATTAACACTAGTAAATTGTTAAAGTCATCGCTTTTTCGATCTCAAGCTTTAAAAAACAATACCTGCCAGTGTTTATGTTAAGCTATATACGTTCTATATTTCTTCATGTGCTGAGAAATTTACAGCTCGCCTATTGGTTATTTGCTCCCTCTCGTTCCGTTTCTGCTCCGTTCTGTGACACAACGCTTTAAAAATCCCCCCTCCCCACCCTCTAGTGAACATTTCCTCCACTTTAGCCAACGCTCTGGGACCCTTCCTCCTTTCTCAGCAGCACCACGTGTGCTCGAGCGTGCGCTACCATTGGTCGACTCCTTTCACCGGCACCGCCAATCGCGCTCCTGCTCTCCCCTTGTCTCCGCACCACCTGCATCGCTTCTGCCAGAGCTTCGCCGATGATCGCCACCTCACCACACAGCTTCAGCCTCTCTTCGTCGTTACCCTTTCTGTACACTGGCGTAATTCACTACACTAGGCTCTCCTCTTACGCACTTTGCTTTGCTCTTCTTCTCCTTCTCGTCAGGCTTCGCTGTCTCAGCCGGGTTAGGAAGTGCACACGACGATCCCGAGTAACTTACCACGGCTTTAAAAGACCGGCTGTTAAAAATCAGCTTTTTTCATTAAACAACGAGGCTAATTTGAAATAATCAATGCCTTGTGAAAGAACGTCGAAAGTACTTCCTTTTGTTAATAAAAGGCACGCACAAAGATGATCATGTGCTGGGACGACCTCTTCTATCAAGTATTTTTGCGTTACTGCCGGAAATTTCCATTATAGGAAATGGAAGAAGAAAGAACTGAAACGCGGGGATTGTTTTTTAATGGCTAACTTTCGTTCTGTGTTCATTGCGTGCAAGAACACAAACACACAAACAAACACACGCACGCACTCCTCCGGAACGCGATTGTATACTCTCCGCGCAACATGTACGAGAAGGGAATTGCTTTCAACTGATGTGGAGGTGTTTGCATCTGAAGGTTCTGTGTCCGGTACCGAAAAATTGGACAAAGTCGTGATGTTTTGTATTACAAGTATAATTTAGATGCTCAATTTGTGAACGAAAAAAAATTCACAAGCCTGATATGTTAGGTCAAGTAAATTCTAACATGGATTGCTCGTGCAGCCATATATATGGGTGCTCTGTGACAGAGAGATTCACATCTGGGTATTGATACGAGCTTTTTAGCACGCTCGATATTGCCTGTCGTTGTCTAAGCGCACAATCACTGATCATTTATGCCAGACGTCAACTAATATGGCTGTAGCAGTGGCTGGATAATGCCACATTATGGAATTCGTGCTCTTTAATTAGTACTACCATGTCCAAGACATCGTCACTTATAGTTCAGCGGTACTTCTTTCTTATATGTGGTTGAGACCCCGGCTGATAGTGGGGCAGTTAAACTTATTTCATGCTGACCAGGTAAGCCTGGCAATGTCGGCACCTGCAACGTCTGGCCGTAATCTAACCAGTTAGTTCCAGACGCAGGGAGCTTCAGCGCGGGCCCGTAAGACGGAGTTTGTGCAGTGATACTTAGCGACGGCACCTGCAATAATTGGCCGTAGCCGTTCTCATGACCTATAGCTCCGAACGTTGTTAACTTAAGTTTTTGACCGATACCATAACCACCACCTCCTGACGCTGGGAGCTTCACTGTTTGAGTGTAACCTTTCACGCCACCACCCAAAGCTGGAAACTGCCATGTCTGGCTTTGACCGACACCAAAGCCACCACCTCCAGAGGCTGGGAGCTTCAGTGTTTGACCGTAGCCTTTCACTCCACCACCAAAAACTGGGAACTGCCACGTCTGACTTTGACCGATACCATAACCACCACCTCCTGACGCTGGGAGCTTCACTGTTTGAGTGTAACCTTTCACGCCACCACCCGAAGCTGGAAACTGCCATGTCTGGCTTTGACCGACACCAAACCCACCACCTCCAGAGGCTGGGAGCTTCAGTGTTTGACCGTAGCCTTTCACTCCGCCACCAGAAACTGGGAACTGCCATGTCTGGCTTTGACCGATACCATAACCACCACCACCTCCCGTCGCTGGGAGCTTCACTGTTTGAGTGTAACCTTTCACGCCACCACCCGAAGCTGGGAACTGCCATGTCTGGCTTTGACCGACACCAAAGCCACCACCTCCAGAAGCTGGGAGCTTCACTGTTTGGCCGTAGCCTTTCACTCCGCCACCCGAAACTGGGAACGGCCATATCTGGCTTTGACTGATACCATAACCACCACCTCCTGATGCTGGAAGCTTCATTGTTTGAGTGTAACCTTTCACGCCACCACCTGAAGCTGGGAACTGCCATGTCTGGCTTTGACCGACACGAAAGCCACCACCTCCAGAGGCTGGGAGCTTCAGTGTTTGACCGTAGCCTTTCACTCCGTCACCAGAAACTGGGAACTGCCATGTCTGGCTTTGACCGATACCATAACCACCACCTGCATCGCTTCTGCCAGAGCTTCGCCGATGATCGCCACCTCACCACACAGCTTCAGCCTCTCTTCGTCGTTACCCTTTCTGTACATGGCGTAATTCACTACACTAGGCTCTCCTCTTACGCACTTTGCTTTGCTCTTCTTCTCCTTCTCGTCAGGCTTCGCTGTCTCAGCCGGGTTAGGAAGTGCACACGACGATCCCGAGTAATTTACCACGGCTTTAAAAGACCGGCTGTTAAAAATCAGCTTTTTTCATTAAACAACGAGGCTAATTTGAAATAATCAGTGCCTTGTGAAAGAACGTCGAAAGTACTTCCTTTTGTTAATAAAAGGCACGCACAAAGATGATCATGTGCTGGGACGACCTCTTCTATCAAGTATTTTTGCGTTACTGCCGGAAATTTCCATTATAGGAACTGGAAGAAGAAAGAACTGAAACGCGGAGATTGTTTTTTAATGGCTAACTTTCGTTCTGTGTTCATTGCGTGCAAGAACATAAACACACAAACAAACACACGCACGCACTCCTCCGGAACGCGATTGTATACTCTCCGCGCAACATGTACGAGAAGGGAATCGCTTTCAACTGATGTGGAGGTGTTTGCATCTGAAGGTTCTGTGTCCGGTACCGAAAAATTGGACAAAGTCGTGATGTTTTGTATTACAAGTATAATTTAGATGCTCAATTTGTGAACGATAAAAAATTCACAAGCCTGATATGTTAGGTCAAGTAAATTCTAACATAGATTGCTCGTGCAGCCATATATATGGGTGCTCTGTGACAGAGAGATTCACATCTGGGTATTGATACGAGCTTTTTAGCACGCTCGATATTGCCTGTCGTTGTCTAAGCGCACAATCACTGATAATTTATGCTAGACGTCGACTAATATGGCCGTAGCAGTGGCTGGATAATGCCATATTATGGAATTCGTGCTCTTTAATTAGTACTACGATGTCCAAGACATCGTCACTTATAGTTCAGTGGTACTTCTTTCTTATACCACCACCTCCTGACGCTGGGAGCTTCACTGTTTGAGTGTAACCTTTCACGCCACCACCCGAAGCTGGAAACTGCCATGTCTGGCTTTGACCGACACCAAAGCCACCACCTCCAGAAGCTGGGAGCTTCACTGTTTGGCCGTAGCCTTTCACTCCGCCACCCGAAACTGGGAACGGCCATGTCTGGCTTTGACCGATACCATAACCACCACCTCCTGACGCTGGAAGCTTCACTGTTTGAGTGTAACCTTTCACGCCACCACCCGAAGCTGGGAACTGCCATGTCTGGCTTTGACCGACAACCAAAGCCACCCCTCCAGAGGCTGGGAGCTTCAGTGTTTGACCGTAGCCTTTCACTCCGCCACCAGAAACTGGGAACTGCCATGTCTGGCTTTGACCGATACCATAACCACCACCTCCTGACGCTGGGAGCTTCACTGTTTGAGTGTAACCTTTCACGCCACCACCCGAAGCTGGAAACTGCCATGTCTGGCTTTGACCGACACCAAAGCCACCACCTCCAGAGGCTGGGAGCTTCAGTGTTTGACCGTAGCCCTTTCACTCCGCTACCAGAAACTGGGAACTGCCATGTCTGGCTTTGACCGATACCATAACCACCACCTCCTGACGCTGGGAGCTTCACTGTTTGAGTGTAACCTTTCACGCCACCACCCGAAGCTGGGAACTGCCATGTCTGGCTTTGACCGACACCAAAGCCACCACCTCCAGAGGCTGGGAGCTTCAGTGTTTGACCGTAGCCCTTCACTCCGCCACCATAAACTGGGAACTGCCATGTCTGGCTTTGACCGATACCATAACCACCACCTCCTGACGCTGGGAGCTTCACTGTTTGAGTGTAACCTTTCACGCCACCACCCGAAGCTGGAAACTGCCATGTCTGGCTTTGACCGACACCAAAGCCACACCTCCAGAGGCTGGGAGCTTCAGTGTTTGACCGTAGCCCTTCACTTCCCCACCATAAACTGGGAACCTGCCATGTCTGGCTTTGACCGATACTATAACCACACCTCCTGACGCTGGGAGCTTCACTGTTTGAGTGTAACCTTTGACACGCCACCACCCGAAGCTGGAACTGCCATGTCTGGCTTTGACCGACCCAAAAGCCACCACCTCAGAGGCTGGCAGCTTCAGTGTTTGACCGTAGCCCTTCACTCCGCCACCAGAAACTGGGAACTGCCATGTCTGGCTTGACCGATACCATAACCCACCACCTCCTGACGCTGGGAGCTTCACTGTTTGAGTATAACCTTTCACGCCACCACCCGAAGCTGGAAACTTCCATGTCTGGCTTTGACCGACACCAAACCACCACCTCCAGAAGCTGGGAGCTTCACTGTTTGGCCGTAGCCTTTCACTCCGCCACCCGAAACTGGGAACGGCCATATCTGGCTTTGACCGACACCAAACCCACCACCTCCTGACGCTGGGAGCTTCACTGTTTGAGTGTAACCTTTTACGCCACCACCCGAAGCTGGAAACTTCCATGTATGGCTTTGACCGACACCAAATCCACCACCTCCAGAGGCTGGGAGCTTCAGTGTTTGACCGTACCCCTTCACTCCGCCACCCGAAACTGGGAACTGCCATGTCTGGCTTTGACCGATACCATAACCGCCACCTCCTGACGCTGGGAGCTTCACTGTTTGAGTGTAACCTTTTACGCCACCACCCGAAGCTGGAAACTTCCATGTCTGGCTTTGACCGACACCGTAAACGCCTCCTACAGAGGCTGGAAGTTGCAGTGTTTCACCGTAGCTTACCACTCCACCACCCGAAACTGGAAACTGCCATGTCTGGCTTGTACCAGCACCATAACCGCCTCCTCCATGAGCTGGGAGCTTCAGTGTCTGACCGTAGCCTGTGGCTGGCAGTTTCAACATGCTGCCAACGCTGGGATCGTATCCGTAGACAGAGCTCCCGTATGCAGAAAATTTCACCGATAGTCCGTATCCAGTCCCATATGGCCCGTTTCCTGAGGCTGGTACTTTCAACGTGCTACCGTAGCTAGATCCGTATCCGTAACCTGGGCTCCCTGATGCTGGAAATTTCACTGATGGTCCGTATCCAGTTGCATAATGTCCGCTTCCGGTGGCCGGCACTTTCAACGTGCTGCCATAGCTAGGTCCAGTATCCGTAACCAGGGCTTCCAGAAGCTGGAAATTTAGCCGTAGGTCCATATCCACTTTCATATAGCCCGCTTCCTGTACCAGGAAGTTTCATTGTTGGTCCATATCCAGTACCATATTGACGACTTCCGGAGGCCGTTAGTCTCCATGTGTCGCCGTAGCTAGGTCCGTATCCGTAGCCTGTGCCCTTGGAAGCTGGAAGTTTCATGGTCGGTCCGTATCCAAAACTATACGGCCCGTTTCCTGAGGCTGTCGGCTTCAACGTGCTGATGTACCCACGTATGTAACCGGTGATTCCAGGGGAACCATATACTTCATTGGGAGACGAAGGAATGTGTGCGTGTGGTCGTCCATGTCCAGAACTCCAAATGGGGTACGGTGGCGCTAACATAGATTGCATGCCAGTGTATCCTGGTGCAGAGAAAAAGTTTGTTGGTGGGGCTGCGCCATATAGGACGCCATTGCTATATCCTCCTTGCACTGTAGTATATGGAAGGTTTGGAAACAACGTTGCACCCAAGTATCCGTAATTCATCGATCCCTGCACCTGTGAGGGAAAAGAAAACACGTGACTTGTTAAGTTCTTATTGTCTGCAATGAATGTAGAAGTTTCAAACTGTACCGAAAACATAGTTTTGAGGACGTAGCACAGAACAGAGCAGAAAAAAAAACAGCCAGGCCTACGCGTAACGCAAAACACAGTCACAGCGAAAGCTGGTAGAGCGGCCTTGCTAGAGCCCCTTTTAAACACTCTCCAGGCAACTACTGCAAGCACACTTGTGTACTTCCCATTACGCCATAAACCACTATAATTGTAATTGGGAGGCGTTCAATGTGTCATTATTCGCCGAAGCCGAGCACATACATTGTAACGACGTAACACCATGACGATGAAGCTTATGGCGATGAAGGTACCACTGCCTCGCCCACTCATCATCATTCACTTCGTGGATAAGATATGTCGTATTTCGAATGTAGACCCTCAGTGCGCTGCGATACTACTACTATACAATGAACAACGAAGAAGACAAGGCGGTGGGGGAGCGGAGGGCTCGTAAAGCGGCTGCATCACGGGCTGTCCGTCAAGACCAGGAGGTGAGAGCTCGCGAAGCCTTAGCCAGCACCGGCAGCAAGAACAAGCCACCGATTCAGAGGCGGCGAGGGCTCGCGAAACCGGAGCAGCTCGCGCTCATCGACAAGCGGACCTGGAGATGAGGGCCCACGAAGCCGAAGTGAGAACACAAGGCCGTTATACTATAAGCATAAAGGAAACGTTTCCCTGAGCTTAAAGTAATGTATGACCAAAACAAAATCAGGAGAGCCCCTCCCCCCTTGTGGTCCATAAAACAAGAGAGCAACAAAAAACACCATCATACGCACATGAAAAGTAAAACATTGCGTATGTGCTGTGTCACACACCATCACATTGTGTGACGTCTTTGTATGATTGAGTGGGCAAAATGTACGGAGGATTCCTGGTTCCAGATTTACCTCCGCAGATTCGCCCACTCAGTATCATGCACTTTGCAGATGTGGTGGGACTTTTCCAGTGTTTATCCACACAGGCAGAATCGCTCTGGTTATAGAACAAAATCAGCTGACTCGTGATTCAACAGCGCAGCTATTTTTTTTTACTTTGCATTTCTTTTTTTTTTCTTATTTCGCGCGATAATGGTTACGGACACCGGTGGTGGCGGCGGCGGACAACTACGGTGCCGGGATCGGTCCTTGTTGTGATCTCAGAACAGCTTTTGCTGGGAAAAACTGTGCACTACACATAGTGGTGTGATCATTTCCCGCGCCCTTACTATTCCATACAATACATAGTTATGATATGCTTTACCGTCTGTCTTCTTTCCCTTATCATCACTATGGCTTACCTTCTAGCCCCCCGCTATAGATGGCCATGGCGTTGATGATTTTGCCTGCATGACTCCGAGATGTGCCATGAGCTGAAACCATGATAACTTTCCCCTTTCCTTCTTCCTAGGTTCCCTTTACCACCCACTGTTATACGTGACTATGCTAAATGGGGTAGTGTCACACGTCCATGGTGCTTTCTGCGTGTAACGCTGTAGAATTATTATTATTATTATTATTATTATTATTATTATTATTATTATTATTATTATTATTATTATTATTATTATTATTATTATTATTATTATTATTATTAAGATCGAAGGAATGTATCCGCAGCCGTCCTGTTCGAGATTGGCGCGCGTTGTACGTGTGGGCGCGAATCACCGTGCGTCGAAGGAAGAGCACAGCTTTAAACTCTTCGCGAAACTGAAAAATGCCCTCGTCTCGTCCGAGGGGATATTCCACCCACAAACGGGGCTGCTGATGCCGACCGGGAGATTCGACAGGGGGCGCCTTCTGGCTTCCGAAGAAAGGGGAGCGCCGCATCTTTTTCACGGCCGTCCCTCGCTCGCCCGCACGGGCCATACAGGTCGGCGGCGCAGGTGGAAAAAAAGAGCTGTGCTTCAGGAGGGAGGCGCGGCCGGGTGTTAAGAATCGGGCCACCACGCCAGGTGTTCCTGCCGAGCGGACCGTCCCCGCTCTTCTTTTCTGCGCGTGCACCAAAGGTCGGGTCATTGGAGCGCCGCCGGCTGGACCGACACGGCGGCCTGCGAATGTGTGCCGCTGGGTGTCTCTCCTTTGGTCGCGGTTTTCGAGCGTCGTCGTATTGAGACAAGACCTACTGCTCCGCAGAAGCCAGACAAGTATTTCTCGACGGCCTAGTTAGGCGACGCGCTGCTCGCCTTGCGTAGGCGCCAACCCTCGTCTTGTGTGCTCGTCCTTTCCGCACGTCTCTATCTACGCCCGTCACCCCTTTCGCGGCCAGCTCGGAACCACCGCTGAAAAGCGGCAGGACGGCGCCGTGTCACAGTGTTCCAAACAGCCCGAATGAGTCGTAATTTCCGACTCCGTTATTTTGTGGCGAAACAACTGAGTGCTATATAGAACGAGGCGGAATCCAGGCGTGCGTCGCGCACAAAAGTTTGTGCCTAAAGCACGTGTGTCACACGCCTCTTGCATGTCTGTTAAGGGGTTTGTTTTCTTTGTTGGACCCATTATCTGTGAGAACTGTCAGACAATGGTACTGAGCAGAGTATAGGGGATGTCAGTATATAGTAATTCTAGTGTAAACTGTGAAGGAAGAAAAGTGGACGAAAAGATCTATTTCTCCGCTGGTAAGGACCGACCCGACAACCTTCGAATAACGCGTCCGATGCTCCACCGACTGAGCCACAGCGGCGGTCGTCCCTCCGTATGCACTTTGCGGGGCATATATGCGCGTTGAAACGTGGGAGTGTTAGACACCCGCAGCGGGGAGTGTGGAACTCACTTTTTCCCGAAAAGTACTTTTCTTCCCTGTCAGCGGCAAGTTATCTTTTTGTACTTCACTTTCCTAACATCTATACACTACAATTACCACTAACAACATTCCCTATGCTTTCCTTGGCATCATTGTCTGCACGCCTAGCTCTCTTGGCCGTGTGGTGGATTCCCACTTTTCTTAACTAAGCAGCGCCCAATCCAAAAGCGGCACTGATAGGAACAAACTATGTCGCAAGTTTGTTGTCCCGGTGAGGCGGAAAGACAGAGGACAAAGCCGTTTTCTTTTCTTGTCTGATATTGCTACTTCATTTCCTATTGTTGTTGTGGGTGATGATGATGATGATTATGGTGATGGAAACGACGTTGTTCAGTATCGCCGAGTGTCTTACGACTTATGGAGACCCAACTCTGTGCGAGAATGCAACTGAGATTTATTGAACCCAAGTTTTTCTTTTCTTTCTTTTTTATAAAGGTATCTACAATACAGCGTTCAGCCTATGGCCTTCCCTATATTCCTCCTCTGGCTAGACTTTTTGCCTGCCCGCGCTAACACGCTTTCATGACTAGCTATCCTGCGCATTTCTTTCTCTTGGTCCTCGCTTTTGTTTTGTCTTCACTGCAAAACATTTTGGGCTCGAAAACAGGTCGCGTTAACGAGCCTGGCGTCTTTGCTTTGCAGAAAATGAACGTATTGTTACCAGAAATGTGGTGCTAAACCAAAACGTGCTGAGGAATGGATGTAGGACGAACTATCTGTGTAATTAATCATATATTTCATTATTTATATTTCTTATTTGTCTAGCAGACAACACAATTTTCGTGTTTCAAGACACTGAAGGCGACGTTAGGAGCCACCTGACTAGGCCTCCAGCACTACTCTGTACATTCGACGCACAAAGTAACTTCATTTGATAAGGAAATGAAATAGTGAAATAACATCATGAGGAACCAGGAAAACCTTATGCAAAGAAAAATAAAACAAGGCAAGGAAAATGTGTAGCATAACGTAACCTATAATTACAAAGCACACGCACAACAAGATAGAGCAATGGTAATGTATACACCGGTGTCGCGATGGTATTTTATGCCAGGGGCCGCCAAGGATTGTAGCACGTCATTCACGTCACGGAAGTGACGTCAATAAATGGGCACATATGGGTAGCTCAGAAGGAACTGCTTACCCTTGTTAAGAGTGCAAGTGCGCTTACAGGCGTATGCTCCTAGAAATTAGTGACACTTTAAAGTTTGGGGTGCTTAACTGGAAAACGGAACGCACCTGTAACTAAAGGGCAAAAAAAAAATTAACGTTTCTAAAATAGAAGTTATAACTTTTACGGCTACTGGCAACTCCTCGCTGATTTTTTACGTCATTAATACAATACTTCATAGAACGCTTTTTTTTTTCTGTGAGGTGTATAGGCATTCGCCTCTCCGCGGACCTGAAGTTCCCACATTGACGCAATAGCATACAAAACATCTAAACACTTGCATTCAACATACGGCATTTATGTCTAGTCAGCTGGAAGACAAAACTTACAGCATACAAGTGACTGGTTCGCTCCAATACAGAATATTCCTCCCTCATTCGGGAACCAAATCAAATATACTCAACTAATTACTGTAGTATACACGAAATAAAGCTGTCCGATTGATAACTAGAAACTGCTCACACCATTCGAGCATCACTAATATCAAAGCATCACTGA